CATAAATTTATCTCATCTATACCCAAAATACGTAGGTATTTCTATCACAGTAAACGAAAGCTCACATACCTGACAGGTGACCGTCTAACCTATTACATGATTCTCGATGTGGCAGCTATAAGGGAAATCTGCCCGGAACATAGATCAGGAACCGAAGGTCCATATCAGCTCCATATAGAGTCTTAACACTGTATCACTCGCGCACTCACAATCACTAACCTAACTATCACTACAAACGTAAGCACTATCTAGATCAACATGCGACGTTTGCACAAGACATGATGACATGGATCAACGCGCGACATTTCCTAAATACTAAAACCTAGATTGTCTCACAACTATGAAATTAGTAACATCGTTTTATACACGCACTTGCGATCATAAACTAGCTATCACTACGAACGTAAGCACTACATAGATCAGCGCGTGACATTTCCTAAATACTAAAACCTAGATCGTTCCGCAACTATGAAATTAGTAACATCTTATTATACACGCACTCGCGATCACAAACTAACTATCATTATGAACGTAAATACTATCTTAGACCGACCCTCGACGTATCCTAGGCCAATACACAACTATCTATTAACTATCTCCTAAATCCGAACACTCCGTTACTACGATACTAGATTCTCTGCAACACATCACAAACGCACTCACGAATAGTAATTTAATTATCCGAAACTACACTTTCTTTAACCGACACGCGACGTATCCTAGGTCATTTAACAACTTAAATCCTAAATTAATCCGCAACTACGATACTAGATTTATCTAACATACTCAATTTAACCATATCACTAATAATTTAAGAGGATTTTAGGAATTTTTACGTGGTCAACTATCGTCAATTTTTCAGTCATTTGATAACCATAGCGCTTATCCCCTTTTCCTCTCACAGCGTTTTTTCCAAAAAATGCCATTCCTTTGTGCTTTTGGTCTCACGGTTTTTCCTTTGATTTATTTTAAAGAAACAGTTATCAAATGTCTTCAAATTACTAGGATACAGGGATTGCCAACTTTAGTGACCGCTCTATCCAATGCCCCATACTCAGTAGTGGAACGTTTTATATAGTAATATTTAATATAGACAATTTGACCAAAGTCACAAATATAAAATATACAACTTTATCATTATTGTATAAGAAATAAAATAACAAGATGATAGAATTAGGTCTGAAGGAAGACACTTATTTCAGAATAAAATAGAAGTTTCCGCTTGTGTTCTCCGTTTATTAAATTTTAATAATTAGAACAAATGGTGTGCACAAAATTAAACGTAAATTACTTTTTGTATTATTTGCAAATCGAAATTTTTTACTTTGAGAAAATCTAAGTTTCATAAGTATACTTTAGCATTAATAATTACATTTATTTGATGTAATAGTATTATTATAGTCTTATTAAATAGTTTAAATTCATTAGCGAAGTTTAAAAGTTTAAAACCCCTGTCCCAAACTGCATTTCAGCAATACCAATAAATTCATACGTAACCTAAACCTTAATGTTTCCTGTGGTCAAATTGGATGTCTAATGAATAAGTCCTTTGCTCCTTGGCGTTAGTGAAACGAATTCGAAGAATACATTTGCTGTGAGATTTATTGTAATATTTACAATTAAATATTGTTTAAGAAATTACCTACTATGCTAATACATCGTTATTATATATTTTATTCATAAAGTTTTGTTCTTGCTAGTTCATTTTTTTTAGGAATTTGCGAGAGGTATGTTCTGTCACAATGCTACATCAAAAGTATCAAGTTTTGGTGAAATGTAAGATCTAATTTATTATACTATAAGACCCGCATTTAACTACATTTTTCAGCAAATAAATATCTTGTTTTCTTGTCACTGTTCCTAGAACACCCAGGCCAGGAGCAAATTTAAAAAATCATCCTCATTCAGTGCTCATAATGCAAACGGTTGGGTCAACAAGGTCGTCCAGTCTAGCACATTATCATTATTTTATATTTTATTATCATTATTATAGTATCCCTTTCGTTTCTTTATGAGTTTAATTCCATTCAACAGCACGTTAAAAATTACATGAGAAAGGCGTTCAAAATAAGAGCAGACGTGAAACGTTTAAAATTTTGATTAATTTCAAGGATTTCTCACGATAACAGTATGGCTGTGCTCGGTGATACCCGTCCATGTTTGGGATTCAATTAGTCCCCGCTCTAGTTACGTGCGTAGTAGGCGATGCCGCAAGGCAGTAATTATGTAAAATTGTTCCTAATCCCAAGTTAAGATGTTAAATTCTACGTTGCTCTATTTGTCAGGTAATCTGATTTTATTACACACAAATTCCTACTTTATTGTCTTAGATGTTACGATGTTTTTTATATTTGCCTCACAATAGGATTAAATTCGCATCTTCAGTAATAAAATGACGGAATTTGGAAAACAACAGGTTTGCAAAAGTAACAAAATAGATAAAAAAAATGTTTTTTTTTGAAAGTTTTGGCTTCGACACAAGTAATTAAAGCCATGTCTTCGTTTAATTATCGAGATCTTCAATAAATATTTCCCATTGTGGTTCTAATACATTTATTTTCACTTTCTCTTAAATAACTTCATTCACTTGTTTATAGAAATAGAAATAGAAAACATTTATTCCTTAAGTAGACAACACAGTACACATGCATTTTGTAATAATAACAATAAAAATAGTACTAACTACAAATATATAGAAGAGTACAACGCGTGTGTGCTGTGCTGCCAAGGAAACCGTGACCCACTCAGCTTATTGTCGTCTCACTTATGGTGCTACGACGCTGATTTTCAGCGGATCCGGCAACAGAACACACGTGACACGGAACATAGTAGCCGTGACAGATTGACAATTATGTCCTTAAAAACGCACAAAATATGACAGAACGAACAGATTATTGACACAGTACAAGAAGTAATGACGTTACCACTTACATAATATATGCGTTAAAATGTGAAATTAATTTCATAAAACATGTATAAATATTAGAGTTAGTCATTTTGTGATATTAGTTAGAAATAATATCACAAAATGAATATAAATGTAGACAGTTATGTATTTCAATAATAGACATTATTACGTCACATATAATTAAAAATAAAATTGGTATAGTGAATAATTGAATAAAATTGACATACAAAAAACAGAACCAAACAAGTAAAAATAATAAAAAATATAAAAAAGTAATCTAAACAATAATAATCTATATATTACGAACATAGATGACCCCGACACATCAACAGCCCTGTGGAGATTGTTGAACATTTATTAAGTAAGCCCTGAGTAGTCTTTTAAAAGTAAAAATCGACGAGGCATTCCTAATAGGTGGTGGTATGTTGTTCCAACATTTCGAGGCAGCATATCGAAATCCGCCACGAAAGCTCGCCGTTCCGTGTCGAGGGCATACAAGGCGAAGCGCATGTCTAACGTGCATTGATGAAAACTGAAGTTTGTCATACAAGTACAAAGGTTGCTTGGTCTTAATAACCCCAAACAGCAATACAGCAAAATGTAAATGGCGACGGGCTTCCATCTTCAATAAACCTGCATCATTCTGAAGAGGCGTGACATGCGCTCGACACGGAATGGGGAAACAATACCTGGTGCAAGCATTCTGTAACCGTTGAACAAGATTTCTAGAGCGAGCAAGCAGACATCCGCCGTATATTGTGTCAGCATAGTTCAGTTTGGATAGAATCAAAGAGTCACAAAGCTTTATGCGCAAATCTACATTGATAAAGTTTCTCACACGATATAATACCTTCAGGCGGTAAAAACAATTGCGAATTGTCTCAACGATATGCCCCTCAAAGTTAAGGGAACCATCCATAAGGACACCTAGATTTCTCACCACTGAAACTCGGCCTACGGAACTTCCCGCTATAGCTACCTGAGGGTCGTAGGACATGATGTTCTCAATTTGTCGTTTTGTACCAAGTACTAGAAACTTTGATTTGGAAGGATTGAGCACTAGATTCATTGACTTACAAATAAATGGACGACGGGTCTAATACAAAAACCACGAAAAAAATGTCCCAAGTCAACCTATTCGAAATTTAAATTGTAATGTCATCGCAGTATCGCGCTGTCAGTAGAACAAATGAAGACTAAAGCGGAGTGTCGCGCTCTGTATACGATTTTAGCGCCTTACAAGTGCGGACACTTTTTAGCGCGGACCCGACGTCCATATAATTGTAAGTCAATGACTAGATTGTTTAGTTTTGACCATTTTGTTTGAGTCTTTTAAGCGGCGGGAATGAATATTTATATTTTTACTTTCACTTAAATTGTCACTTTGACCAAAAACTCTGAATTTTAATAATATAAAATAAAGAATATAGTTGTAATATCGAGTTCTTAGGTTTTCGCGATTGTTACACATAGGAAATGAAACTATTTTTCCGGATTTAAATCGCGTATATTTGTTTTTTCAAACAAACCGACATTTCGAGCCCTTTACAGGTCTCATGGTCATACATACATACCAATTAGTTTTTAAACTACTTTTTGCCGCAGCGCCATCTGTGATAAATCTATAACAGATTTTCTTCACTTTTACACGAAATAAATAGTTTTTTTTATATCAACAGAATTTTGTCAGATTTTGCACCAGGTATATGGCATGCGTGGTTAGTGTAACAAAAGTTTTTTTTTAAATCCAATCTGCGAGTTGCTAAAAAATGTTACCATGTTCGAATTTCGAAACTGTAATATTACGGATGCCACGCTTGTTACATAATTATAATGAATCATAATAAGTTGTTACTTTGAATACGATTTGATAATGTTATATTTAAAAAAACTACACTAGGTAATAAAAGAAGAAATAGTTTTTATTATTTATTGCACAAGTATGCAAGCTTAAAATGACATTCACAAATACTAAATTTGTAGGTTACAGACCTGCCTAATAAATAAAAATCTCTGAGGCCGTAGTTATTATGAATAACATAGTTATAAAGGTAAATAAATAAATAACGGTCAGAGATAACAGTGCAAATAAAATAGCTTAACATAACAACGAAAACAGGCTGGCAAATACAGGCTATAAAAAATTGTAACTGTATTGATCCTTGGGGTGGATAACTACGATAAAGCATAAAAGAACATTATATTATATTCTAGAATGTTCTTAACATGAACGAGTTATGGCAAGAACTACTTGTAATTAACCTAATATTACGTGAGATTGCCCATTGACTCATTCGAAAACTTGGTAATTTTTCTTCCACCACCAAGTACCTGCAGGTGATACGTTTGATGTTGGATCAGTAAAGGCGCTAACTTGTCGGGGAGTTGTTGGTAAAGCTGGGAAGTTTATGTAGCTGGTCACTCTCGGTGCATTTTGAGGGTTAACTGAATTGAATATTGGTATTTGGGGTTGTCCTGGCATTCGTGGGAATGATCGCTGCGGCGATGGCGGAACTTTGAATTGATTAAAATAATTAAGGCTCGGGACGACTTCAGCAGGAGCGACGAAACGTGGTTGAGGCTCACATACTGTTCCTGATATCAAAGTATCTAGTGGAGCAGTGAAGATTCTAAAGTTAATATCACTGTAATCAAGCCCAGATTCACCTTCCAAAAATGCTGACATACGGTCTGAAATTACCCACACTTCTGATTCATCTACAATTTTAATGTCGCAAGGGAATATTAGGCCAACATCGTCCTTATCAACGATAGCAGTATTTTGGGGTTTCAAAGGTAGTGCAGAGTTCCAGCATCCGATAGCGTTTTGATCAATGAGGTTGTATAATTCCACTCCTCGTTCTGACATCACATGAGACGTGGTATGACCATTAGGACCACGTACACCAACCACCTTGAAGTCGCTGTAAGCATCGTTTACTTTCGAGGAGTTCCTTAATATTCTAGTTGAAACAGCAAACTCAGTGTTACTTGTCAAGGGGCTAAAGTAGAGTGTACGATATCCATCAGGACCAATAGGTGAAGTAGTGATGCCAAAGATGCCTTCAGCGAACCATTGGAAGTTAAGGCCACCGATATTGAAGTCTCCTACAAGAGGGTCAGGTAGGAAGTATCCGTGGCTGAATCTCCAAGACTTGTTTTGCTCCCATGAGTAAGCGATTAGCCCGTAACCGAGTTCATCAGAGAAATATGCGAAGGTGTCTTCGCAGCTGTTTCCCATATCGAGAGCGATGTTGGCGATAAAAGTTGATGCGAGGATATCTTCGGGGCGGAATACGTATCTCCTGATACGGCGGTCGGTGTTCAAATCGTAAACGTTCAGGGCAAAGGGACAAACATTCGTGACGTTTTCTGAAAAAAATAAAAAAGTAGCATAAGCTATATACGTACTTTCTTATTTAAATTATTAGAAATTTTATAATCTACATAATACTCATGTGATACTAATACATATGCACACTACATTCACCTCACAATCTTTTTGCTTTTGATGCGACGCGCTACCCTCGATGGTGGTGGCTGAAAATCAGTGCTTTGCTGTGGGGCAAATTTTGCACTGAGCCACGGCCTATTTGGCTTGCTTTAGCACACACAAATTGTTGATCATTAGGTTGATCTTTAATTTTGATTTCTGTGATTTACTCTATTATATTGTTGTGTGTGTGTGATGTAAGACAATAAACGTTTTATCTATCTATTTATCTTACTTGTGCATCTTTGAATGTGTATGAAATTTCTTTTTATGATAACAAGTGTCGAGACGAACAAACGGGGCGACTGGTGTTACCACCAGTTACACTTGTGCACGGCGGTTGCAGTGCCACTCAGAATTTTAAATCGCAAAGATCTGCCACTGCCTACTGGCACTGCCACTGCGCCCGTCACTCTGAGACATATGTTGATAAGTCCCATGTGTCTGTAATTTCACCAGCACCATTACCCTTCAAAGCCCTAACGCAGTATTGTGAGCATTACTGCTTGGCTTCAGAAATAGCTACTTCCCTGGATGATTATTTCTGAATTAGGTCGCCGACAAAGAAACTAACTAACTTGTGGTTAGGTCAACAGGTGTCCATTGCCATCTAGCGAGGTCACGTTGCCAGTATAATGGGAATTTTTGAGCTAGACATGATATAGGATGGGATTTTTTGGGCAAGAAATTTTTACGAAATCCCTTGTAAATCCACTTTCTATGTTCTAGTTACCTATTGACGAAACCTAGAGCTGATCTTTAGGTTGTAAATTTATGATGTTTTTTTTGTGATATACGTTTCTATTGAATAAAGTGTCTAAGTTAAGGTACTGAATCTTACCGTAGCCGTAAGTGCCGACATCCAAAACCCAAAGTCTATTACATTGATCGGCTTTTATCCTATAGACGGTGGTGAGACCACTAGCGCAGTTCCCGAGTTCATTGCCTTGCCAGCTTGGATAAGGAATTAACTTCGGCGACGGATCGTACGGAGCATCCAATGGAATGTAGTTCAAAGTTGCTGGAATACCTGGAATTTGCAAAAAAATTAAAATAATTAGAAGTTCTGTACTGTATCAACCGATTACCGTTGTAGTTTGCTGCTAATAGTGGCAGACGGGGAAAAAAGCGAATAAAGACGGCAAGAATAAGAACAATTTTTGCCACAATAATATGGATCTAAATAAAGTTTTTCACAATAAATAATGCAATCTGCATGTAGTCGTGGTAGTCTAACCTACCGCCACACAGGTGCAAGACTCGTGCACCTCTGAGTATTCGGAATTAATGTGCGACATTTAATTTGAAATTTACTATGAGCTTTTCGTTGAAGGAAAACATTGTGAGGAAACCTGCACACATCTGCAAAAGAATTTAATGATGTGTGTAAAGTTCTCAATCACCGGTATGTGAGTTAAAGCCCTCTAATTTTAAGAGAAGGTCTGTGCCCTGCAGTGTTACTATTTATAATGGGCTATTATTATTAGCTGCATATGATTATGCAGTTATTTGTATTTTTAACATGTGAGTCACAAATTTATGACTTTTTTTTTTACATATTTTTTGTAAAAATACTAAATAACATTTCGTTATTTCTATTATTAGGAACATAATTACACTACAGAGGCACATAGATAATTTTGTTTGTTCATTTTAGGCGCACATCTTGCGGTTTTTAATGTCTTTTGTAAGTGGAATGTAGGAAGATACGAGTATAATTGGCTGCTTATAAAGTCCGCGCTATTTTTGCCTCCATGTGGCTAACTTTAAACAAAAAAGTACTTCAAAAATTAAAAAAATAATATTAATAAACATAACAAACTAGTGGAGAAATTTAAAAAAAAATAGATAGATAGATAGATAAACACTTTATTGCTCACACACAAGAACAAGAATAGTACATAAACAACTTAACACTAATGTGGGCAAAGGCGGTCTTATCGCTAAGAGCGATCTCTTCCGGACAACCTTAGAGTTAGAGGAAAGCCAATCGGAGTGGGAGACGTAGTGTGCCAATTTTACAAATATAAAAATAAAAATATAAAAGAATAAATTGTAAAAATAAAAAAAAAATACAAAATAAAAAAATTAAATAAACACACATAGTAATTTATAAAGTATTTAATAAATAATGATATATTATACCTACGTAGATATATGTATATATAAATATACCTAAATAAACTTATACTTACTAATAACTTATACTTTCACATAAAAAAATTAAATATCAATTCATACAAATTTGAAAAAAAAAATATTTTTAAGAAATATATAATTATAGTCTATGTTAAACTATGTTTAACTGCCTCCGTGGCCGAACGGTTACCAGGCCGGACTGAGGTCCTGGGTTCGATTCCCAGGCCGGAAGAAATATGAGCGTGTGGCCTCCATTTATTTCTCTCGTGAGTTTGGGTGTACTTTGTGGTTATGTAATGTATGTGACTCCCATGGCTCCCGCGATACAGGATTTTCCTAGTGCGAGGCTATGAATGTGTACCGTTAGTGTTGCATTAATATTAGTATTAAAAAGAAAATTATATTGTCTATGGTCATTTCAAGAATAATATTTGAGCGCTCATTTTAAAAATACGCGGGAACTTTTTAAGATTCATAAAAAACAACAAGAACAGGTGAATCGATAGAGTGTCGTAGGATAATGCCCCGCCAAACACATCTATACAAAGCTGTCAAAAACTGCTGTTAGGTTGAGAAGTGTTACCTCATCCACCGTATGCGCCCGACACAGTTTTTTCAGATTTGCCTGTACAAAACTTTCGGAATGGACACGACTTATAAAACTTATGTACATCTTAAACCAATGCTTGCAATGCAGAAGACACTCATAGTGCAATGTGTATGTAAGAGGTATATTTTTAAGTAAGGAGGAATTCGAAATATGGCAAAAGATTGTAGATCGACATGACTGTTTAAAGTTAGATGTTTTTTGTTTTTCTTTTATACTTTGATACTGCGCGGACTTCTTGGTTAACTCAAAATGTTGTACAGTATAGCGCAGGTAACGCAAAATGCAAGCGCTTAAAATTCTAGCTAATATCGGCCCCATATTCTTTTACTTTGTTATAGTATGAGAGACCCCTCAAATTTGTGGTTTTCGGGATCTTTGGTCGAAGTTGGCATAAAAGCACACGTTAACTCTCAAGAAAACAAAAAGAGAGACGACCGCGAGAAATCTATCTGACATACCAAGTAACACAGACGGCCAGTTTGGTTGTCTATAGCTAAGGAGGCGCGCTATAACAGATTTTAAACCGACTTCAAAAAAGGATGAGGTTCTGAATTCGACAGTTTTTTTTACAACTTCGTTGGTATAAATATCTCTACGTGGATGTCTGTGAACCGATTATAATGATTCTTTTTTTTATTGGAATGAGGTTACCTTAGTATTGGTTTCATTTGAATTTGAAGAAAATATTCCTATATATAATTCGGTCGGCACTTTCCGGTAACCGATATCAATAAAGTTTGGCAAACAGATGTAATTCCACAAACTATTGAGGTTGATTTTTTAATACTCTGTACTTACTGAGATTATATCCATCATATTTATGAATTACGTGAATTCATGCCCATGACAACATGTGATTTGATCTTTAATTACACTAGCCAATCACTTGTATTGATGTAATAAATCACGTATTACTGTGGTACTTAGAAAAGTGAAAGATCATCACAAAACGATTTTGCTTTTACGCAAAACAAGTTACGCATGATCTTCAAGAGACAAATGTAATTCCATTTCATTATGTACGGTTATGTTTGTATATGTATAGGTATACATTTTCCTACACGCGAGTTGTGCCAGCGAAGCGTGCAATCGGTACTATTCCGTCTAAATTGGATAATTCGTTGTTGCACTGCAGTTGTTCTAGAATTTAACATTTGACTCCACCTTTTCCTGATTTCATATTTTTTGTTTTATTTATGCAATACAGACTAAAATCACAGTACATTGGTAGATCGAACAATGGTCCAAAGATAAGCAAATAAAATGGGTACCTATTAATTAATTTTATGTCTATTTGTTTCCATTAAAGTACATCTAACATCTTGTTAAAGAGAACGAAGGTTATTTTAATTTTTCTCCTGCTCCTGTACTTTAATCTGTCAAATTCGAGAGTCTGTGGCTACACCTGAAAACTTGCCCAACACGAGTCGGTAATTAACCAGTATAATTGTAATTTCATATACGGATCATAAGCGTTCTTTTTTTAATCAAAATTTTATTGCCTGTGGTACTCGCCATTGGAATTTTATTAAAGTTCTGTATACAAAAATATGATAAGTTCCAGAAAAAGAACGTCGTATTATTCTACTTAAAATATCAATTAGGACGCTACTGAAACTCTATACTGCCTCCTGATTGGTTAAATTGGCATAAAAGTCTTGCAACCAGGCTATAAATGTATATAAAAAAAAATATTGGTGAAAATATATGCGGTACTTGGCCAGATCTATTCTCTCTTTGGTTTTTTGTTTCGTAGCGTTTGTTTGGCTTTAGAGGCTGTATGGTGGAATCACGACATAAATAGGTCCTAAAATCTCGTACCTATTCCTTAGGCCATTTGGCAAAGCCTCGTAACCTAAATACAGTACTCGACTTTAAGAAACCTCATTATGCAACGATTGCCTAAAATATTATTTTAATTTGTGACAAGACTTAGCACACAGCCTGACCTATGTACAAGATGTGACATAGCCAAAAGTGTAGTGCTTGATGTTCAATTTCATATAATGATATATTAAATTAATATTAAACAAATCCTAGATGCAAAACAGTGTAAAAGTCCATAAAGTCACTATCATCGAGTATATAACCAGAAATAGAGACAAAATAAGGGACATCCATCCCTGGCAATTCCTCAACCAACAACTGACCTATGTGTACGTCTCCGTATATTCTCTATTTATTGTAATAAAGTTAATGTCTTTAACTATGGGGAGCTGTTCCATTCGGTGTGGGAAAAACAGCAATACATGTAATTACAAAACAAACGGAATCACATTTTATCGGTAATTAAATATTAAATATGGAATTTTTCAACATTTCATTACAGCAAAGCTCAAGTCAAGATTTGAAGTGAAACAAAATTGATAACACCCGTCTATTGTTTCGGATTCGGGCTACCAATCGGCAGCACAGTTGTCACCGTAATGATTTGGCAGAATAGTTTTCAAACAAATTAAATGACATTTCGTCTCTATTTCTGTTTATATACTTGATTTTCTCTATCTATGAGCTAGCAACTAGTCAAAACCAATTTAAGGAGCCTAAGCACGATGCGACCTCATGTTTCTAGTGTACTTTTATTCACTGCCTCCATAGCCGAACGGTTACCATGCCGGACTGCTACGCAGAGGTCCCAGGTTCAATTCCCGGGCCGGGAGAAATATTTGTATGGCCTACATTTATTTCTCTCGCGAGTTTGGGTGTAATTTGTGGTTGTCCATGTATGTGTCCATGGCACCCGCGACACAGGGTTTCCCTAGTGCGGGGCTATGTTGAGTGTGTGTTTTATTATTATTATCATCAGTGATCTGAATTGATGGAATTTATTTACCTAAAGTATGAACGTTTTTTGAATATGGACATACACATTTCGTGATTAATGCGTATAATTTTTTTTACTGTTTATTTTCTAAAGATTACAATCTATAGGCTGTGTCATGTTTATTTTTTGGCTCTAGTATTTAAATCCCTAAGTACATATAGAAACATACTATATACCTCCGGGTGACGGGCGCAGTAGGAGTGCCCTTTAGATATTTGTGATTTAAAGCACTAAGTTGTACTGCACCTGTTATGGACAGGCGTGTCATTTATCACCAGATGGGTGACTTGATCATCCCGTCACAAGGTCTCAAGGTCACGGACAGGGATATATTGGTATGGACATGATGAATGAGGTGTTCCGATGTAATAACCATTCGAGTCGTGCACCCGACCAAATGGCAGAGGCATTTGGTATTGTTAATCATTCGACTCTAGTCGAATGGTTGTTGTTGGAC